TTTCTTTAGGGCGGAAATGTTATCTAAATTATTAATTAGACATTAATTAACTTATCCAGACCATAATCATCTCTTGATGCCAACTTCTGATTTTCAATGGATTTGAATCCGATCTGCTATTCAACGCCCTTTGATACCTAACTGCAAAACTTTTTTAATTATCGTGACAGCGGTACTAACAATGACAATCAAAGCTACAGTGATTTTAAAATTAGGTTTTCTCGGCTTAGAGTGAAGCAATTTGACTGAAATTTTCAGCATATTCCCTTTACATTATCTAGTTTTTATTGCCAGCTCTTTATGTAACTTCCATGAGTATCTGGGGGTCACGGTGGCTAAGTGAGTAAAACGCTGTCTCGCTAGCCCGGAGGTTGGGTGTTTGATCCCTATATTGGCCGGGAAAGTTGATCCATGGCATATATGCCTGTCTTCATTAGCCCAATTCGGAGCAGAACAGTAGGACGTTAAACCTTATTTCATTCCATGAGTATCTTTAATTAGGCGGTGAAGAATTAGATATTGTCAGAAAATATACAAATGATGGCCAGCAACATTAAAGATAGGTTGCCAGGCAACGAAACATACACCCACAGCAACTAAATCGTCCGGGCAGTCAACAAGGGTTGTCGCATATTTTTACTTTTTTCGGTAATGAAACATTTATAATACACTAAAATCTGATTAAGAGCAACAACTCACGAAGTAATTATCAGAAAACTATTAGAATTTGTTTGGTTTTTATAAAGTTCTGCCCCATGCTAACGTTTTGTATGCAAAGCTTTTAATATCATGGATTTAACTGTTCAAGTCATAAAAATTCATTGAATTAAATCAATATACTTGTTCGTCTCAAGATCTTAAACTCTGTGTATCAATCTGAAGTCAATCGGATGATAACTTTAACCTTTAGAGTATCCACAAGATTTTTTGAAGTGATCAAGGGCCATAACTCTGGCAGTAATTATCGGAAATCGCTGAAAATCAATAGGCTTCTTCGTCTCATGACCCTAAACACTGTGTATAAATTAAAAGTCAATCAGATATTAACTTTGGCCTCTAGAGCGTCCACAAGATTTTTCAAAGTGATCAGGGGCCATAAATCTGGCAGCAAATGTTGGAAATTGCTGAAAATCAATAGGCTTCTTCGTCTCATGGCCTTAAACACTGTGTATAAATTTAAAGTCAATCGAATATTAACTTTCACTTCTAGAGCATTCACAAAGATTTTTTGAAGTGATCAAGGGCCATAACTCTGGCAGTAATTATTAGAAATCGCTGAAAACCTTAAACACTGTGTATAAATTTAATGTCAATCGGATGTTAACTTTAGCCTCTAGAGCATCCACAAGATTTTTTGAAGTGATCAAGGGACATAACTCTGGCAGTAATTTTCAGAAATCGTTGAAAATCCATAGGTTTCTTCGTCTCATGACCTTAAACATTGTGTATAAATTTAAAGTCAATTGGATATTAACTTTGGCCTTTAGAGCATCCACAACATTTTTTGAAGTGATCAAGGGCCATAACTCTGGCAGTAATTATCGGAAATCGCTGAAAATCAATAGGCTTCTTCGGCTCAAGACCTTAAACACTGTGTATAAATTTAAAGTCAATCAGATATTAACTTTAGCCTCTAGAGCGTCCACAAGCAATTGTGGACGCCGGACCGCCGGTCGGGGGTGACCACAATATACGACCACATTTCAATGTGGGCGTATAAAAATTACAAAAAAACACAAACACCAGACACAGGCCGTTGACTCCAAAAATCTTAAGAGGAGAAATGTCTCATCTTAAATCTTAAGATGATTAAAATAAGTCATGTTTCCTTACATTAAAAAAATCAACAAGTACCAATAAGTTTACTTCTACCAAACAAGTATTGAAGTCAGTGTTTGAAATTTGAGCTGATAGTGATAAGATGTGTGAAGGACTTTCATAATATCCTTGGACCTTCAGATCTTTTCAGTGTACTTCTTTCATAAACCAGATTAAAGCAAGGATCGGGCAGTAGGGTGCCCCAGGGAACTGAATATGAAAATCAATACAGTGTTATTTGTAGACATCAGTAAATTACATTTTAGAATATTGAATTCTGGTTATTATTAGAATCCCCAGGCAATAAGAACAGAACGAGTTCACAAAACAATCTCAGACTGAAGTTAAGAATTTACTCAAAACTGTTCACCTTATTTTAACTAAACTATAGCCCTTAATAAAACTTTTGTTGTTTTAATGTATCAAATACATCAATAAGAAACTGTGTGCAAAGTTTTGTATTTCTGAATCAAAGATATTTCTCATAAACAGTGTAAATTGTGTAAATTCTTAAGTTAAGTCTGAGAATGTTTTGTGAACCAAATCTGATTTTATTAATCATGTATTATGAAGCTATACGGTTAGTGATTATACTATTGATGTAATTTTAAAATACTGTTTTATAAAGAAGATAAACAATGTTTAGACATCATGAACTATTCTTATCATGGAGAGAGAGAGAGAGAGAGAGAGAGAGAGAGAGGGTTTTAACATCCACTCGTCACAAACTAGGCCATTTCGGAACTAACATATGGTTCAATTTTATTTTAATAATTTGCTTGCACGTAGGGGTCTTTAGCAGTGGGAAGAAACCGGAGGACCTGGAGAAAACCCACGAGGTTAGACAGAAGATCCTTCTCCTTGTGAAGTACAACCGGGGAATCAAAACCACGCCAGTTGACTCAATGACAGACCTAATGATACAGAGAAAGAGCGGGTTTAGCATCCACTTGACACAAACTAGGTAATTTCAGGACTAACATATGGTCCTATTTTATTTCAATAATTTGTTTGTGCATAGGGGTTTTTAGCAGTGGGAGGAAACCAAATTTAATATTATGAAATATCTGTAGATGAAGTCTAAGATGGCAACTTATTGACCCTATTTTTGGCCTCTGTTGACCCCAACTAAAGATATTCCATAGTCAAATTTTTGAAAGAGAAACACTATGTGGTTATCAAGCATTATCTCAAGCTTTTAATTACATCTACCTGCCTATAATTAAAAACATGTTTGTACAAAACTTTACTGATGATATATGCAAAAGACAATGAATTGGGGTTTAACAACTGTTCTACTTCAATCTGACTTATTAAGAAGCGCATGGGTCATGCAATATGCTATATCCTTCTTCATAAGTCTGGTGGTACAGAAAAGTAGGGTGTTAAACCCCATTTCATATGGCTCCCCAGATATGGCTGAGGTTAAGTAGCCTACAATAATGCTTCCCAGGCTCCAGCTGAGTTACTCAGCTACCTTCTGGCCTACATTCTAATTTAAATTATTATATAGAAATATAAAATTTGTGACCATCCTGTGTTCTAGAGAGAGAGAGAGAGAGAGAGAGAGAGAGAGAAATGGGGTTTAACGTCCACTCGACACAAACTAGGTCATTTCGGGACTAACATATGGTTCAATTTCATTTCCATAATTCGCTTGCGCGTAGGGTTCTTTAGCAGTGGGAGGAAACCGGAGGACCCGGGGGAAAACCCACAATGGCCTACACTACATGAAGATCTGACCGGTTATAGTGGAAGGTTGCGTCAGGTATCATACGAGCGGCTTTTATCCTTTTGACGTCAGACATTGATTAATTAATAATTAGCGTTGACATATCTAGTGGTTTACCCACAGTTCATCATGTTCAATCAGAAGTAGTTATTGTGTTTAAAAGTCGTCAGTGACAGTTTTTAAAATGGAATATTTGGGTATTTACATGAGTTATGTCCCTTTGTACAATGACCAAACAAACAGGACTGTGATTTTAAAGTACATGTATATATATTTAACTAAAGGAATTGTGGTATATCAAAAAACAATGATATATGTTGAAATAATGGTGGTTTTGGGTACATTTGTGTATCTTACAAGTTATGTCCTTAGTTATGACTTCCAAACCAACTTGGAAACCACACACTGAGGGGCATTTTGACAAAAATTACTACGTACAATTTTGAATTAAAATTGACAATTTGGCATAAAGAACTAAACAGAAGGCTGTATTATCAAATATATGAATTATGGTGATATGAGTTGAAACAATGCTGGATTTGGGTAGATTTGGGTGGAATTGGGTAAATTGCGCTATCCATGTATCAATACATGTAGCGTTACCCATCTCAAGTCTGGAAATAAGTCACCTGTCACAGACATTGTCAGACACAGATTCAGGCTTTGTCAGGCACAAAACCTCTGGTGCCTGTCATTTTGTCTGGCACTAATTTGTCTTTTTTATTGATATTATTTAATTATTAATAAATATCCGGCACTAAGTTGAAAATGTCAGGTACTATTTCATTAGTGCCTGATATTTTGTCAGGTACATCTAAAACGTTTATTTCCAGGCCTGCCATCATATTTATTACCGTACGTCTTTCTTGTAAATCATTAATTATTTTTTCATTGTTAGTACCGGTATCACATTACAGCGCGGTCGACACTTACGGCTGGCCATTGGACACATTAACTTGATTTGATATTTGCTGCTTTTTTGTCTTGCAATGTCTTAGTAATTTGTCTTGTCAGGGTTTTTTGTTTTGTGTGTTGTGTGGTTCTCCTGTCTTTACTACTAATAAAGCAGTGATAAGGAATGGATATACAAATGGTATTGAACAGCTGTGGGATTGGGTTTACTGGAGTGAATTGGTGTGTGTGGGGGGGGGGGGAGAAGGGGGATATGTTTTAAGGGTTGAATGGCATGACTAAGCAATCTTGGTTGACAGAATCACCAATAGGATAGGCACTATAGTGGTCTATAGGGTACATCATATCATGATGAAACAGACGTTCACTTATGAGAAAATGACCCAGATCCATATAAATTAACTTATGTACATCACAGTCCATACACTGATTTGTGTTTCTCTGAGTTATAACATAATTCAATTTCTAACTCGTGTGTTTTCATTCAATGAATCAATTCAGACAATTGACCCTTTAAAAAAAATGTAATGAGCTTTACCTCCGCGATGACTAATGTGATGAGCTCGAAATTTAAGGTTTTTCTTCTTGTGGATAAGTCCGGGGAATCTAAACAACAATAACGATGTTATTATGTACCCCCCTATCACCGCAACGAAAACCATTATCCAAATTAAGTCGGCTGTCTCCATACAAGCTAAAACAATAACGTCAACTGCTGATTAATAATGTTTTGTAAACATTTAGCAACCAGGCGATTCTTGACTTCTTTGGTAGAAGAGCTCTAATGTAGTCTCGATTGTCCAAACAATATATTTTAGAAATGCAGTTTAAAGTCTTCAATGCAATCGGCGTTTCTATATTAACCCTCTCGTGACCACTCTATACACACTGAAAGACTCGTTACAACGCGTTTTTTTTTTTAGTTTTGAAGAAAAAAAACCATAGTTTTCTCGCCAACCTGCTGTGTTAGATAGATTTAACGGTCGTAATTTATTCACATTTAACCATTGGCGTCACACATGGAGGGGGGGGGGGGGTCCGGGGGTACGCCCCCCCCCCCCCAAATTGTTTTTCGGGGGGGGGGGGGCTGAATATTACATATTTATTTACAACAATTATTAGGATTAGTTAAGATTCTATCTGTATAAACAATGTACACTTATGTTTACTTTCTGAAATCCATTTATAATACACAAAATGTACAAAATACTTTAAATATCTATACAACTTTCTTGTAAATGTCAATGTGTATATTGTAGTTAACAAGGTGATTGTCAAATATGCATCCTCATAAACTAAAGTTATGTGATCAAGTTTTGTTTCATTTGGATCCTCCTCATAAAAATTCCCCTACTAAACTCTCTTTGTCGTGTTGTTCATAACTCAAGCGTAACATTCGATATGTAAAAGTCATGAAAAAAATATGAATACGGCACCCCCTGACTTAAACATAATAAACGTTGTATTGGTGTGATGTTTTAGTTTAGCGCCGTAAAATATGCCAAAACAGTGTTTACAGAAGACTGAAATTTTAAAAAAATTTTATGGGGGTGTCCCCCAAAACGCACCCCCCCCCCCCCAAGTGGGAGGGTAACCTTTCGGCTGCTGCGCAGTCTCGTGCCTCCGGCGTCACAGATTGTCAACATTTTATATAATTTCATTTGCGGACCCCCCCCCCCCCAATATATATTTCACGGCTACTGCACATAACTTAGCTATGCTATTGCTATGGTTGAACTAGTATCATATGGTTATTAAATTTATTAATTAATGTCAGTATAATAATGATTCGTAGGAATTTAATTATAAAACGAACCGCTGATGTAGAAATGTAGGACGTTAAATCCCATTATTCATTTCTTTTCATTGGAGGGGTGGGGGGTAGGGTGATCTATATAGTGGTTTAACGCGTGCGCGTGAAATCGTAAGGTCTGTAATTGAGTCTTATGTGATGTGGTTTCGATTCCCCGGCTGTAAGCGACAAGGAGTAGGGTCGCCTTAGATAACAAACCTCATCTCTCAAGTACGTCAGTATATCTCAACGTTTTTAGCTACGTTCTCGTAGCTAGGGTCGCCTGACCAACCTCGTTGGTTTTTCCCGGGTCCTCCAGACCCCTACGCAAGCGAATTATTAAAATAAAATTGAACCATATGTTAGTCCCGAAATGACCTAGTTGTGTCTAGTGGACGTTAAACCCCATTAATTCTCTCTCTCTCTATTACGAATTTTGCAAGAACGTACAATTTACATGGGCTTGTTTTCGATATATTGTTGTGGTGAATATATATAAATTAGCAAAGACATGACCATGTCCTCATATTTTCATCAAGCGGTTTTGTCAAGTTGTATCGCGCCCATCAGATCACCTTCACACGCTAGAGTCGTTAGTTCAAGGAGTCGTTCCTTTGTCATTACTGAACGCGTGTCAGTTTTTACTAATTTGAGCTTTGTGGTATCCAATCAAAGCAATCATACATATACACAGCTATATTCATATATATTAGATTTTTCTCTTCTATTTTGCCATTGTTTGTTTACCAACCTGGTTAAAACACAGATCCTATTTCATTTCATTTTTATAGTTCAAAATTTCGTTTTACTTGTCTTTACTACACTTGGATCTGGAAGAGTTGTTATTTAACGCGTGTTCTGAATGGTGTCAGGGATAAGCCAATGAAACGGTCTGTCACGGCGAGCTTTAGGCACGGAACTGTGGGTAATCCACTAGTGACATCAATGCTGATTGGTTAATCAAATGTCTGACATCATAGGGTCATAAGTCGGTCTTTGACCCCTGACGTGACCTATCGCTATAACTTGTCAGATCTTCATGTAGTGTAGGCCATCGAAAGTATAAAAAAAACGAAACGAAATATAGATCTATATTTTAATCAGATTGTTTGTTTACCTCATTAATTCATTTAGTCGCCGATGCATAATTTTAAGACCCGACTGAAGTGACTACACTTATTTTGAGACCGACTAGTTCTTTCCCACACCCCCTACCCCACATTTACGCCCCTGCCGAAATGACCTAGTCTTTGTCGAGTGGACACGAAACCTCATTTCCCTCCTCTTTCATTTCATTTCATTTCCAATTAACACAATGCTTTCCCCGCCAAGTCCAACGTCAACCACCAGAATGGAATAGAGCGTGGTTTAATGTCTCGTGAACGGTTAAAACCTAACCCTGAAGCTAGCCGGGGGGTTGGATGGCCGAAGGGTTAGCACGTGCGTGCTGTATCATACGGCCTGTCATTGAGTCAACTGGCGTGGTTTCGAATCCCCGGTTGTACGTGACAAGGAGTAGGGTCGCCTGTCCAACCTCGTGGGTTTTCTCCGGGTCCTCCAGTTTCCTCCCACTGATAAAGACCCCTACGCGCAAGCGAATTATTGGAATAAAATAAAACCATATGTTAGCCCCGAAATGACCTAGTTTGTGTCGAGTGGACGTTAAAGCCCATCTCTCTCTCTCTCTCTCTCTCTCTCTGAAGCTACCCCACACTTACAATCTCACCTTACATTTACATCTTATGGCCATAGCAATTAGATATAGCCCTCGTCAACACAATATTTCGGTGATTTTGAGGCAAACACTTGTAAGATCTATAGCTACTGCTATAGTTAAAATTTCGAGAAACAGGGCTGGGGGTGTTCGATCCCTGCATTGGCCGAGAAAGTTCATCCCTCCGGCGTGGTCCCCCCTTGTCAGTGATGCAGGACGGATGGCCTGACAAGGACAGCTGTCTAGTCGTTCGGATGGGACGAAAAATCGAGGTCCCGTGTACACATTGGCGTGCACGTAAAAGATCCCTTGACAGTAGGCCGTAGAGCCGCTGTCCTGGCACAATTTCCCTTATAGCACACTGTATGGCGTATGCCCGTCTTCATTAGCGCAGTGTGGAACAGAACAGTAGAACGTTAAACCCCATTTCATTTCTTCTCCAACCGTAGTGCCGCTGTCCGGGCAAAATTTCTCTCATAGCACACTGTATGGCATATGCCCGTCTTCATTAGTCCAGTTCGGAGCAAAACAGTAAGACCATTTCAATTCATTTCTTTTGTTAAACGGACCTGTATAGTGTACGACATGTAAAATGGTACTAGTGATATAGGTCCAATACATTTTGAATTATTCAAAATTTAATGGATTACTCATTTTCGCTGGGCCACCCGATTTATGGTGTTGTAAGGGGAGCTAAGATCAAGCATGACCAGGGAAACATAGCCCCTATCGTCTGTTTGATGTAAAACATTATTCTAGTTTCGTACAAGGGCAGTCTCAGATCTGTGAAACTGTTTGTAGGTAGTCTGGAACAGCTCATCTAGGTTACCCTGCGCGCATTTCCGTGCAGTATAATCCATGAATCTGGAAGCTACAACCTTTTCAATGATGGTAGTTAGAAACAAACCGGAGCTTAGAGACGGAGCGGTAATGCTAATATTAATTATGTTTGGGTATAGACTATTTGTTCTTGATAGTGGAGTCGAAAGAGCAGCTTTCTGTGATTGACACAACCCCGTCGAGATATCAACGAGCTATGGGCGTGAGAGGAACAGGAGAAATCAATGATGGACCACACAGGAAGTGGGCATATTCCTGAAGCAATGGCCCGAGAAATCCCTCTCTGCCCATTGCTGGATTGGCTAATGATACTTGAGCTTTTGAGGGAGTGTGTCTATTCTTTCCGTTCAATCAAATCTATGCCAAGTACAGCAACATGACAGCCCTTCGTTTAATCTGGGGTCTTCCCGAAAACTTTGGACAGTGATTTAAGGTATTAAAAACGGTGAAAGTCTTGTTTGTCTACATACAGTATACGAGTAGACCGTTGCGCCGCTATCCGGGCAAAGTTCCCCTCACAGTACACTGTATAGCGTATGCCCGTCTTCATTAGCAAAGTCAGAGCAGAACAGTAGAACGTTAAAGACATTTTCATTTCATTCAATTTTCCTACATTTCTGCACCAATCGGGTTATTGAAGATAGGCATACGCTACGCAGAGTGCTATGACAGAAATTTTCAATGGACCGTGGCACTTCTTCATCGAAATTCAACTGTGAAGGATTCTTATATGTGCACGCCAATGTGTACACAAGGGCTTGTTTTTTGTCCCATCTACACAACTAGATACTTTGCCAGACCCTTTGTCCTGCACTACCGACATGGAGAAACCACACTGAAAAATCCCGGGGAACTTTCTTGACCAACACCAGGATCAGTATTGAGGGCAATATGGCCGATAACCCGACACCACGACAACCCGACACCACCACAACCCGACATCACGACATTTGAACCCGACAACTCGACATTTTTACGCGACATTTTTAATATTGTCGGGTTAAAAATATCGTGATGCCGGGTTGTAACCTCAGTTACTACGCCCGTAGTATGCATGAAACCGTACATGGTAATAAGATTCCCAGCGTTGATTGGCTGAGAAATGAGGGGGATCTGGGTCGTTATCAGAAAACAACAACACTTGTCAAGTTTGCAACTTTTCAAATAAATGAACTATTTCAGGTTTTCTTCATGAACATATGAGAATATGGATAGTTTCTACATTAGAAAATGATACGATCAGTGCACTTTTATTCAAACAAGTCTGAATTGTGGCCACTATATTATCATACCCACCCACTAATTAGTCAGTACCATAACAAAGTTTTGTTAGACGATTTTAGGAAAAGTCAATTAAATTGCAACAATCTAACTGTTGATAATGGCTAGTCAAAGTAATATAT